CCCCCCCTTCTCCCCCTTCTCCCCCCCCCTCCGCTCCCGGCTGCAGCGCCCACCTCGGGTGCGAGACGAGCCTGCGGTGCTGGGCTTCCAGGAGCTGCTGCTGCAGGAGGTATTGCTGGTGCAGGGCCTGAGGTAGGAAGGAGGGACCTGTGACGTCCTGGAACTGCAGGGTGGGCAGCGGAGTCAGCGACTGGTGCAGGGTGCCGCTGTGCTGGTGGGCCGGGGCCATGTGGGCGCTGAGGCCCGGCTGCGACTGCACGGGGTGCGCCAGGGGGAAGTCGGGGGCCAGCTGCTGCGGCTGCGGGGGGCCCAGGTGGAAGTGGCGGCAGGAGGTAGCGTGAGGATGCTGAGACCTTTGAAAGGGGGCACCTGGAGAGGAAGGACAGAGAAGACGCGGTGAGGACCCACCCTGCGCCCCTCCCCCACCGAGGGGCCGCGCCTGCAGCTGGTGAAATGCCGGATTTCGCCGGAACGCAGCAGTGTCGTTGCTCTTAGACACACGTGGCTGTCTGTAAGGCTCTGTGCCGTGTGTGTTGGAGGAGAGAGGAGCGTTTCGTTTACTGACCCGATTCGCAAGCGTCCTTTTAAAAATCAACACACTTGTTGGAGGAGGTGTCAGGCCCCTCGCGGCAGTTTGGCCTTCTTGAATTCGACGCCTGCCGAGCACCCTCACTGACCCTCCTGCCCGTGTTCATAGATGCCACCTAGAACACAGGGAGTCCAGCCTAAGGACCCAACCCCGGGGGGAGCCCTAATTTCCAAAGATGAAACAACCAGACATTGTTTTCCATGCAGTTTCGGGAAACAGATTAATCCACGAAAAGTCATTTTTTTGTTCCATAAAAGTTAAATAACTTGTTACAGTGTTACAATGTATTTAAAAGCAACCACTTCCAAGAACGAGCTGGGCTCAGGGTACGCTTAATCTAGTCTCCACGACTTTTCTAAATAACATTGACCTTGATGACAGGAAAGCCTTACAGATTCTCCATGAGGAAAGAGCCAGCTCTCAGCTTGGAGGCCCTTTATGAAGACAAGGGAGAGAACTTGGCACTTCAGAAACGTTCACCGGGGCTTCCTGCTGAACGTGGCAGGTTCAGCACATGTCTGCTCCTTCCTTAACCCCACTGAAATGAGAGCAAAGTAGTAAAGAGAAGTTAAACAGCTAAGGACAGAGAGAACAGTAGAAATGACACGAGCCGACAACAGATGTCAACAGATTTTGGAAGATGGAAAGCAAATGGAGGAATTTGCAGAGCTGAGAAACCGGAAATGAGTGCCCGCCCGAGGGGGCGGGCAACAGGAAGTGGACAGATTTTGCCACCCCTCTGGGTCAGGAATTGGAGGTGGTGGCTACTTTGGAAGGCTGGGGAGAAGGACACCGATGACAAGTCTGTATGAGGACCAGTTCTGCCTGGGGCTTCTCCCCTTACCCACGGAGGCACTGACTACCCCCTCCCTCATCCTGGCATTTTGTAGGGAAACTGGGCCAGAATGCAGCAGCGTGCTCAAACGGGGGGGCTTAAGTGAAAGTCTATGCAGGAAACTTTGGAAGCCCCTGCCCCCTTCTGCCACTTGGCTCTGAAAGCACGGTCACCCAGCAGCGCACTGGAAACTGGTCCCAGAAAGACATCTGCAGATACTTCTGGTTGGGAGGGCCCAGTTAAATGGCTGGGTCCCCAACTAGCCGCTCTGTAATGAAACCTGTACATTTAAAAGTCCATACAGGCACACACAATCGCTCCCACTTCCTGGATAGCTTTTAGTGACCTAGTCTTCACCATGAACAGATAGCCCAAGGGTAATCAGTCTCTGAGGAAGATTACTGAGTGAAAAGAGAGACAATGTATCAAATTTTTAAAAGAACAAAACAAAAGGAACCCAGAGGAACAGAGGCCATGCAAAGGAAAAACCCTATAATTGACATCCTCCGAGAAATAAAATGTTGGATCTATGAAACAAGAAGTTCTTTTCAAAGGAGCTAAGAGAAAACCAGAGCTCTTGGACATTAAAAACAGAAGGGTCGGAAGACAAAGCTGGGGAAATTTCCCAGGAAGCAGAACGAGAAAACCGAGAGACAGGAAATAGGAGAAAACAGATGTAAACATAGACGGATGGGTCGGAAGGTTACATACGTGACTCGTGAGAGAGAAAAGACAGAGAAAACAAGGGGGAGGAGAATATGAAAAACATTGCAAAAGATAGTTTCCCAAACTGACGGTTTGAGTTTCTAGATAGAAAAGGACCTCTGAGTGCCCAGCAAAATGGATAGGAGAAGAACCCACACTGAGGCATCTGACTGTAAAATATCCAAATTGTAGGAGCCAAGATGATTCTAACACTTTCCAGAGAGAAAGCAAACAGGGGCCACACAAAGGGTCAGGAAGCAAAATAGCCTGGGATTTTTCAAAAGCAACATTGGTAGCATAAAAACAGTAGAGCAATTGCCTTCAGGATACTGAGGGGGAAAAAGATTTCAATCTAGAGCTCTATGCCCAGCCCAACTGTTGATTGATCAAGCATGAGAATAGAATATAGACATTTTCGAACATGCTGGGTCTCAAAAACATCAGCCTTCTCCGCACGTTTCTCAGAGAAGGACTGACACAAACCAAGAAAGAGGAGCAGACACTAGGGGGTGCGGCCTGAAAGAGATGGGGTTTCCCAAGCCATGCAGTGGCTCCAGCACTGCACAGGAAAGCAGCAGGAAGGGAGGCGCTCTGAGAGGGTGTCTTGGGGGTGGAGATGGAAACGATAGGACTACCAAGAGATTTAGCCACATAAAAACAGTATTTGAAGGGGGTGCCTGGGTGACTCAGTCGGTTAAACATTAGGCTCTTGACGCTGGCTCAGGTCATGATCTCCTCCTGGTTTGTGAGTTCGAGCCCCATGACGGGCTTTGTGCTGACAGCTCAGAGGCTGCTTGGAATTCTCTCTCTCCCTCTCTCTCTCTTCTCCTACCCCACTCACACATGTACTCTTTCTCTCTGTCAAAATAAATAAATAATTTAAAAAATTGTATAATATTTGACAGAATTTTGCAGTTTGACAGAATTTGGTAAGAATTTGTGCAAATGTCATAAAAAGCAAGGCAACCACAAAAAATAATGCTAAACTACAAAAAGAGGCAGTTATTACCTCCCAGGAAAGAAAAAGTTATGCAAGAAAGTGTAATTATTATGTACTACTTGGTTCAGCAGTAAAAAATATTTATATTATATATTATATTATATTATATTATATTATATTATATTATATTATATTATATTATATTATATGTATAATAAAGCAAACATTAATAAGCTATATTAGAACAGAAAAAGACATTTCTCTCTTAATAAGAAACTATAAGGGTGCCTGGGTGGCTCAGTCGGTTAGATCTCAGTTCAGGTCATGATCTCATGGTACATGAGACAGAGCCCCGCGTCACCGGCTCTGTGCTGACAGCACAGAGCCTGCTGGGGATTCTCTCTCTCCCTGTCTCTCTGCCCCTCCCCTTCTCACGCGCGCTCTTTCTCTCTCTCTCTCTCTCAAAGATAAATAAACATTTTTAAATTAATTAATTAAATAAAAAGAAAATGTGTAATGTCAAAATTGAAAAATCAACAAATAGCATTATAAGAATTTATTTAGAAATTTACTTAGTAATTTGTGTGTTTCAGGAAGTGAACAGCTAAAGACGAGTGGCATGAGTTGGGCTTTGGGCTGTAGGAGAGGGGAAAAGGCGAATACATTGCTACATGTATCTTACATACTGGTGCTTTTTGACTCTGTAAATGATGGGCATGCCCGTTGATAGACGTTTTTAATCTTTTAAAAATAACTCTTTGCAAATCCAAATGAAAACCAAAAGAGTTTCTGACTGCCCTCAAATGAGCCAGGAAAGAATTATCTAGAAGGTTTATTTCTACAAACATTCTGGATAAGTAGGACTTCTCTGCCTGTTGAATTCTGGCTTTGCTGAGTCCAGGGGCGGTGGCCTGAGCAAGTAGGTCCTGGATTCCCCCTTCTCCCTCACTCACGCCTGACCATCAAAAGAGAAGAAAAAGGCCAAGGTGACAGAGGACAGGGGCAAGAAGAAGGAAGGAGGGCTGTTAAGAGATCATGGAAAGAAGTGAAAGGCGGCATGACTGCAGGGAAAGGGAATTGCATAAAAAATACAGACTCTAATCCAGCCCTGTCCAAAAGAATTATAACGTGAGCCACGTGTGTAACTTAAAATTTTCTGGTAGCCACCCTTAAAAGAAGTAAAAAGACATGGGTGAAATTAATTTTAATAATATCTAGGGGCGCCTGTGTGGATCGGTCGGTTCAGCTTCCCGACTCTTGATTTTGGTTCAGGTAGTGATCTTGCAGTTGGCGAGATAGAGCCCCACGTGGGGCTCTGTGCTGACAGCGTGGAGCCTGCTTGGGATTCTGTGTCTCTCTCTTTTGCTGCCCCTCCCCCCTCTCCAAATAGATAAATAAACATTAAAAATTAAAATAAATAAATAATATATGCTACATAAGCCAATATATCCAAAGTGTTATTATTTCAACAGGTACTCCAGGAAAAAAAAAATGAGATATAGTACATTGCTTTTTTTTTTTTAATTTTTTTTTAATGTTTATTATTGAGAGACTGAGAGACAGAGAGACAGAGCATGAGTGGGGGAGAGGCAGAGAGAGGGGGAGACACAGAATCAGAAGCAGGCTCCAGGCTCCGAGCTGTCAGCACAGAGCCCAAGGCGGGGCTCGAACCCATCAACTGCGAGATCATGACCCGAGCCAAAGTCGGACGCTCAACCGACTGAGCCACCCAAGCGCCCCTAGTACGTTGTTTTTTTATTGTGCACTAAGTTTTCAGAACCAAGTGTGCATTTTGCACTTATAAAGCATCTGAGTTCCGACTAGCCCCCTCCCAAGCTGCCCCTTGGGGTTAGTGCCTCCCCTATTGGACAGTGAGCTGTGAAGGAAGAAAGCCAACTCCATGCACGGAGCAATGCATTTGAGCCAAGTTTCCTAACTGGTCTGCCTTCAAATGGGGAGCTCCCCATTGCTTACAGGTGAGATGCACACCCCATTGCCAGAAAGTAAGCCCCATCCTCCTGATCCCTGCTAACTCCACTAAGCTCCCCCCCAGCCGTCTGCACTGGTCAACTCAAAATTCAGACATGCCACACATATTCCCACTGAGGGGCCTTGGCTCACACCTCACCGGCCGCCTTCCCCATCTTTAAAGGTCACCTCTCAGCTCTTCCCAAAACGTCTCCCCTGCCCACCAGCCTCCCCTGAGTTCGTGGAGAACGCCCCGTCTCTATCACTCATTTGGCACCTGGCAGGGGCTACCTTGAGCTGTTTCTTCACACTCGCCACCCCCAGCTGGCTGA